ACTTGCAGGGAAGCATGTAAACAATTGTGGTCAGCCCTGCAGCAATTGCAGAACTGAGATCTGAGCTTTCCATACCCAATCAGGATTTAGTTTCATGGCAGGAGAAACAAAAATCTTCAGCAGTGCTAAGAAAAGTACAATGTTCAGATTTAATAAATTCATAAATGAGATGAAATGGAATCCCGGAAGATTTTTTTTTAAATCCAACTTGTAAGTAAAGTTTGAAAGTTGCTGCCATGGGATGTGGTGCTGGTTAGAGCAAGTCATAGAATCCAGTGGCTAATATTTATTTGCTTGCTAGCTTATGTATTCATTTATTTTTCAAATTTAATTATCCTTCATGGCAGCATGTGCCTCTGGAGGGCATTTGATGAGAAGCTGTGAGCTTCCTTCCTTGTGCAGCTGGATAGCCATTGTGAGAACACCAAATGGACCAAGAGTCTGATACAGCAGGACACTGATAATAGAATAGAATAACAGAGTTGGAAGGGACCTTGGAGGTCTTCTAGTCCAACCTCCTGCCTAAGCAGGAAACCCTACACCACTTCAGACAGGTGGTTATCCAACATCTTTTTAAAAATTTCCAGTGTTGGAGCATTCACAGCTTCTGGAGGCAAGTTGTTCCACTGATTAATTGTTCTGTCAAGAAATTTCTCCTTAGTTCTAAGTTGCTTCTCTCCTTGATTAGTTTCCACCCATTGCTTCTTGTCCTGCCCTCAGGTGCTTTGGAGAATAGCTCTTATAAAAGTTCTGTTTCCTTGAGAACTTGTCAAGCAAGCAAACGAACTTGGTTTTACCAAAATAAAACCTGTCTTCTGATGTACTATTGTATATGAACAGGAGGGTATCTAAGGAGTCAAAAAATCAAGACAATGCCCACAATCATAAGATCGGAGTACTGCCCTTTTTTCTTGTGAATGGCATAATAATAAATCTCACAATTGTGGCTGCCACCTTCCAAAGTAAAGGCACAGATGTCTGAAATATCTTTTGATTGAAGTTTGTCTTATCCATAAATGAACCCCTGCAGGATAAAGTTTAACTTAGTGCCATTTCTGCACCAGCTTGATCTAGGAGTCTTTTCTGTGATCAAGTGAATATATCATTTTTGGAAGAAAATAGCACTTCAGCCAAGTTAACACTAGATGTCCCCCTTGTCAGCTAATTTGCTGTTGTCTTCAAGAAGCAGGTAGAACTTTGGTATTGGTGGATTGATTCAGCTTGTTTACTAAGCCATTCATTCTGCTGTGACATTCAGTTTTACATTTGCCTCCTTCCTACCTACCTATAAAGAGATTAAGGGAAAAAAAGCAACCAGGAACAAACATACACACATGTTCAAAGAATGCACTGCTAGTGTATTTGAGTGCAATGCATACATTTTAAGGCCATCTGTTGCAGCTATAACAGTATCATATCTCTGTTCATGTACCATATATAAAATTGTATATGTACATATATATACATGAACATGCCCATAGAGATAGAGTGTGTGTGTGTGTCTGTCTGTCTGTCTGTGTGTGTGTATGTATGTGTGTGTGTATGTATATATATATATATATATATATATATATATATGTATGTATGTATGTATGTATGTATGTATGTATGTATATATATATATATGTTTTCTGAGGTTCTCGCGGGTATTTGTATGTGGATCTTTGGTTGTTTGGGTTTTCTCCCGCGTAAGATTCAAAGTATCTAGGCAACGTTTCGATGAAGTCTCATTCATCATCATCAGGCCTCTGCAGCTGCAATCTCACATCACTCCAAGAAGCAAGAGCCGAAGACAGAGGCCTGATGATGATGAATGAGACTTCATCGAAACGTTGCCT